AAAAAAAAAAAAAAAAGAAATGGGCAGGGTAAAGAATTCAGAATTTTTGTTAAATAAAAGTCCTATAGGGGCCGAGGATTTAGCTCAGGGGTTTTGCCACCCACTGTGCAAGCGCAAGGACCAGAGTTAGATTCCTGGTATAAAAAAAAAAAGCCCTATACATGAAAAACTGGTTAGCCATTAAATACTTATTAAAAGAGGCCTAATATTTCCCTAGCATTTCTTCAGAACTCTCCTCCCCATCTCTCAACTCTCCAGGCAATTTCTTCTCAATTTTTTTTTTTTTTTTGTACTGGGGATTAAACTCAGGCCCTTGTGGTTGTAAGGCAGGTGGCAGAACCACTGAGCTAAATCCCTGGCCTATCTTCTCAGTTTTTTTTTTTTTTTTTTTTTTGCGGTTCTGGAATCGAACTCAGGACCTTGTACTTAGGAGGCAGGCATGTTGCCACTGAGCTAAATCCCCGGCCCCATCTTCTCAATTCTTTTATGGCCTCCTGCAGGACAGTTATTTTGGAGTACAATAGCTACATATTAAATGCTTCATTCAGTCAGCAAGGGTTGATTAGTAATCTGCCAGCCAGGAGAAGTAATGGACGAGTGATTTGCCCCATTTCACCAGGATCAGAATGGCCTCACTGCACCTGGACTCATGTGGTTCCTCTTGTGGTTGCTTCCAGGTGTTTATAACCATCATAACTTTGACCTTTCCTGATGACCAGCACACTCTCAGGTCTGTGCACTTGCTCATCTTGCTACCATGATGCTATGGCACAGATAGCACATGGTTCACTCCCTTATTTCTTCAGGTCTTTGCTCAAGAATGTCACCTTTTCAGTAAGGTCTTCTCTGACTGCCCAATTTAAATCTAAAATCCCGTTCCCAGCCTGTATTTCCTTTTAAAATAGGGTCTGGATGTATAGTTCAGGTTGGCCTTGAACTCACTATGTAGCCCAGGCTGGCTCTGAACTCACAGTACTCCCCTGCTTCACCTCCCAATGGGACTACAGGCTTATGCCACCTCACCTGGTGTAGCCTGTATTTCCTGCTTTATTTTCTCTTCTCTGCTTTATTTTCTCCACAGCACTTTTCACTAGCTAATAATACTATATTTTCCTCATCTGGTTTTCTTCCCAAAGCAAAATGTAAGCTCCATGAGAATAGAGACATTCTGGTCTATTTTGTTCATCAGTGAAGAGCAGTGCCCAGCATACAAGAAGCACTCAGCACAGTGTGTTAAATGATGGATGGATGAATAACTGCTGAAGGCCAGTATATGTCTAAGGTCCTAGGCACAGAACCCCTTTTCCCAAAGCAAAGGCAGCAATCATACTAACCTGCCATATTCTTTATGCAGAGTGACCAGAAAAGCACAGAGCTCACTAGCATGACAGCCTGGGAGTCCGGTTACAATGCTAATAATTACCTGCATGAAAGAAAAGTCACATGAGTTTGCAATTCAACTGAGAGGCAGCTTTGTATAAGAGAACTGACTTCTAGGGGCCAGGGATTTAGCTCAGTGGTTCCAGCGCCTGCCTCGAAAGCACAAGGTCCCAAGTTTGAGCCCCGGTACAAAAAAAAAAAAGAAAACTGACTTCTGGAGTGAGGCTCTGTGGGTCTGAACCTTAGCACCATCACTCATCAACACTGTGACTTTGGGCCAGTGACAAAACCTGCCTTGTAGGAACAACAGAGTAAATTTAGGTAAAGTACTTACAAGAGTGCCTAGCCCAGAGCAAATACTGCATAAAATGTAGCCCTACTATTTTAATTTCAGGGGAGCAGGCTATGATCTATCAGTTAAAATGCAATGTGTTAAAGAGCCTGCCAACTAAAGTTCACAGAGCTCTTTTATAAAACAGACATTCAAGAGTATTATGACCTCTCCAACATAACATTTCTTAGAAAAATACTGGGTAGAAAGGAGGACTGGGACAAAACTGCCTCAGGTCATGCTGGTGTGTGAACAGGGCAGAGGACAGGAGCTGCACTGGGAGGCTTCTGCCTGGCTGCCTGTGCCCTCTGAGCCACATGGCCTGGGCCCAGTCAAAACTCCCTGGGCGTGGGAAGTACTTCTGATTCCTGAGAAGAGAAGCTACCTGGACTGTCCTAACCACATTATACTATCACACCAAAACAGGCCCTCTTCAGGTGGCTATTCCAAAGCCATGTACGAAAGTCATTGGCGGGGCATGGTGGCGCAGCCTATAATCCCAGCACTTGGGAGGCTGAGGCAGAAGGTCTGAGCTGGCTTGGCTGAGACTGTGAGTTTGAGGCCAGCTTGGCCACACAGTGAGTTCAAGGTCAGCCTGAACTGCATAGTGAGACCCTGTCTCAAAAAAAAAAAGCCCATATCAAAGAAACTCAATGAAAAAGAAGGTGTCAAGCAGAGGATAGAAACCCTGCACCTGCTGAAGGGTGTCTATGCCAATGGCAGAGCACAGTGAGGCCTACGTATATATTTTGTTTATTTATTTATTTATTTGTTTTTTTTCTCAGTACCGGGGATCAAACTCAGGACCTTGCACTTGTCAGGCAGGTACAGTGCCACTGAGCTAAATCTCTGGCCCTATTATGTATGTATGTATGTATGTATGTATTTATTTATTTTTGGTACCAGGGATCAAGCTCGGGACCTTGTGCTTGCGAGGCAGGCGGCAGAACCACTGAGCTAAATCCCCGGCCCCCTATGTATTTATTTTTGAAACAAGTTCTCATTATGTAGCTCAGGCTTGCCCTGAACTCACTACATAGCCCAGGCTGGCCTCAAACTCATGGTGATTTCCATGCACTAAACTAAGATCAAAGTGGATTAAAGATATATTAAGACAAACACTAAACTTGCTGGAAGATAAGTTAGGTAGAACTCTTGAAGATATTGGCATAGGAAAAGACTTCATGAACAAAACCTCAGCACCACAGGAACTAGCAGAAAGAATCAACAACTGGGATCTCATCTTATTAAAAAGCTTCTGCACTCCAAAAGAAACCACCAACAGTGCTAAGAGACAACCTACAATATGGGAAAATATTTTTAGCAGCTGTACCTCAGACAAAGGACTACTATCTAAAATATATAAAGAACTGAAAAAAATCAGATCCCCCAAATTCAAAGACCCAATTCAAAAAGTGGTTCCGGCGCCTGCCTCAAAAATGGGCATCTGAAATGAACAGACATTTCTCAGACAAAGAAGTAAAAGCTGCAAACAAATATATGAAAAAATGTTCAACATCACTTGTCATTCGAGAGATACAGATGAAAACAACACTGAGATTCCACCTCACCCCAGAAAGAATGGCTGCTATCAAGAAATCAACAAATAACAAATGCTGGCAGGGTTGTGGGGAGAAAGGAACCCTTCTCCATTGTTGGTGGGAGTGCAGACTGGTGCAACCACTGTGGAAGTCAGTATGGAGATACCTCAAAGAACTAGAACTAGAGGTCCCATTTGACCCAGCTATTCTCCTGCTGGGTATCTTCCCAAAAGAATTAAAAGAATCATACCACAGTGATATATGTACATCTATGTTTACAGCGGCACAGTTTGTAATAGCTAAAGCTTGGAAGCAGCCCAAGTGCCCATCAACTGGAAACTGGATAAAGAAAATGTGGTTTTTTTTAATAAAATGGAGTACTACTTAGACATAAAGAACGAAAAACTAGAGTCATTTATAGCTAAATGGATGCATATCGAGGCCATACTCTTAAATGAAATAAATAGGACACAGATGTGTAAATACCAAATAGTTTCTCTAGTGTGAGAAACTGACAGTGTAAACAAGGGTTAAAATGATTAAAATGAATAACTGATAATCTGAAATAGGAAAAAAGGTCCAAAGACAAAGGAGTGAAGGGAGGGGAAGGGGAAAG